GGCTGTGGAAGCCTTAGTTAAGCTAAGGACAGGCTCCTTCTACATCACCTACACCCAATATAGTTGGTTGCATATTTACAGGTGTGCATGCAATTGCACATCAATATTTGGTATCATGATTTCTTAAGGAATGGAGGAAATAGCTCAGGGTTGATGCTTTTGAATTATGGTGCTGGAGGAGACTCTTGAGAGTCCATGGGACCATGGGACCATGGACTGCAAGAAGATCAAACCGATCCATTCTGAAGGAAATCAGTCCTGAGTGCTCACTGGAAGGACAGATCGTGAAGCTGAGGCTCCAATACTTTGGCCACCTCATGAGAAGAGAAGACTCCATGGAAAAGAACCTGATGTTGGGAAAGATGGAGGGCACAAGGAGAAGGGGACGACAGAGGACGAGATGGTTGGACAGTGTTCTCAAAGCTACCAGCATGAGTTTGACCAAACTGCAGGAGGCAGTGGAAGCCAGGAGTGCCTGGCGTGCTCTGGTCCATGGGGTCACGAAGAGTCGGACACAACTAAATGACCAAACAACAACAACAAAAACTGCATGTTGGAAATTTAAGATAACGGCAAAAACTTCCAATGTTGCCAAAAGGAAGATGAGCGCTGCAACCCCAGAGTCGGCCACGACTGGACCTAATGGTCAGGGGTCCCTTTACCTTTATATTGGAAGCAGGCCCTCACATAGAGTCCATTGCAGCAATCCAACCTTGAAGATATTCTCATTTGGATAATGATTAGAATTGAGAAAGTGGGAAATAGTTTGGAACCTGCCCCCTGCCCCCTTGAAATATCTTATCACCCAAAGTATAACCCTCCAATCCAATGTCTCAAGAAGATGTTCTTGATACCAAAGGATGTATGAGGTCAGGAAAGAAGCAACCAGCCAAACCTGATAATCAAGGAAGAATCTCATCTGATCACAATAAGGCTTCCTACACAGGAAATTACAGGCTTCGCATACATTATAGGGTGATGCTGAGACAAGATACCTCAAGCGACAAATATGGGCAGTGTGTATGTACAAGTGGATGGGCTTTGACACATGACAGGACAGGTGTCACAGGAAGAAAATGCCCTGTCGTCATACATGCTAACAGTAATCTCAATTCTCTGGGGGGAACAGAGAGGATTATCAGTTGGAATGCCCCCCCCCCATTGCCCCACTCCGAGAATGTCCAAGAGCTCCAATTAAGCACACAACAATAGATGACTCAAGTAAGCAAGCCAAACAATGTGAACATAAGAGGAGGTGAAATGCTGGTTTTCACTGACGCTGAACCTCTATGCCCTCGCTTTTGATACCCGAGGTGTATATTTTTAGGACCCAACTTATTTCTGCAGTTGTAACTTTCTCTTTTCATATTGTGTTATTACATTGTGTGTTCATGTTGTAACCCACCCTGGAACCTTAGGGTGAAGGGTGGGCAAGAAATAATAGAATAAGTATAATACAATATAATATACTTAATAAAATAATATAAGCAATACTGAATAAAAATGATGTCTCTGGATGACCCTCCACAATCAAAAGCCGAATTCAGAATAAAGCGTTCAAGCTAAGCAGCTCTGTATGAAAGCATCATGGCCAATTCCGTATGCATTATCCAAGAACAAAGCCTCATTTTTCCACAGGCAGTCTTCGTTCTCCTCTGTGCGAAATTTGAATGGAGGGTGGGTACAGAAGCTGAACAGTTCTGCTTTCTACCTCCCAGCCTTGTATGACAGGAGCAATAGACTTTGGAACTGTGCCCCACCTTTCCTGTGTTTACAAGTCAAACATGGAGGAATGTCAGGCCTGATTTCGCTTTCCCAAGGAATATAACCTTGGCTTAAAAAGGAGGCGCCCAGGCAGTTATTTTTTTTTAAAAGGATATCACTTTGTAGATAAGACTTGTGCTGTGCCGAAACCTGTCCTTCAGCTTCTTAGAGGTTTACTTTCCCTGCAAAAGAGGCTTTTATTTTTTTGCCCCTCTTTTTAAGGGCACTTCAGAATTTGGGTGACTGCAAGGTTAATTTTACCTTATCATTGCAAAGTGATCATGGGTGGGGTTTTCTTTCCTTTTTCTGTTAAATATTTATCTGAAGCCTCCCTGACTTCCAGCGCTGTTCAGTCTGAAAAAGAACGATGGCAAAAGTTACTCCAGGACATATTCCCCTATGCTTAAACTAAAGCACAGGAAGGAAAGGAGAAGGGTTACCAAGCACCTGAGATCATTGCTATAGTTTTCAAGGGAAGTTCTTCCTTTTACCTTGGGGGTGGGGGCAGAGCCGGATTTAGGTTTGATGAGGCCCTAGCTACTGAAGTAACGGGACCCTTTATATGTCCAGCCGCCCTTTGTCAATAACAAATTGTCACTTTTTTGTGTTGAATATATAGTAAAATTCATGTGTTTTTTTTTAAAAAAGTCTGGAACAGATTAATCCATTTTGCATTACTTTCTATGGGAAAGCATGCCTTGGTTTTGGAACACTTTGGTTTTGGAACAGGCTTCCGGAACAGATTAAGTTTGAGAACCAAGGTACCACTGTATATAGAAATAAGCAAACCAGTGATATTCTAGGGAGCAGGCTAGCAGGTGGGGCCCATTACTTACATCATAGGAGTCTATACAACACAAAACACTGTTGCTGTATGTAGGTTTTATTTTATTTGTTTTTTATCTTATATTTTGGAAATGTACATCCAGGTTTTTTTTCCTTTAAATTTTTTTTGGGGGGGGGGCAAGAGAGTGGAGTCCTAAGCTATAGCTTGTTTAATTTATACATAAATCCAGCACTGGGTGGGGAAATTTTTTTACTGGTGTCATATCTGGTCCTGACCTGGCACCAGACACTGACTCCTTGGAGGAAGAACCAGAGACCTCACAGGTCCCATCCCCCCGCTGAATCCAATGCTGTGGATCCCCTTGAAGATTCAAGTTGATGAAAAATCCCCAGAAACTGTCAGAGGAGAAGGAGTGATCCACAGTCCTTGAGAGGACTGATAACAAAAGTCCAGGCCCAAAGAGCAACAACACAGTATGTCTACAGATCCAGAACCATTGGCCTACTTGTAAGCAGTCTACTCACGAGTAAGAAATCCCCCTTAAGCCATTACTGCCAAGCAGCTGTGTTTAGGGTGTAATTTAGGAGCCCACAATATATAAGATCTCCCTCTGGAGCCTTCTAGTTGTTAGAAGCCACATAGATTGCTCCTTGGTCATGCTCTTGCCCTACTGAATTCCTTTGAATATTGACACCGGATTATTTCCTGCTGGTTATTGAACCCAGGACTTTCTCCACGCGATGTGTGTGAATTACCACCAAGCTACAGCTTTTACTCCAGCTCCATGAATGCTCAAGCTTTTTAGAGTAATGTACTTCCGGCACCTTGTATCAAATGAATTTACAGTGGTACCTCTGGTTACATACGCTTCAGGTTGGTTTGTTTGAGTCCCCTTGAGGTGGTGGTAGTTGTGGTGGTGTTAGGGGCAAACCATAGTTCAGTGGAACAGAATAAGCTTTATATCAGGGATGGGGAATCTCAGGTTCTGGGCACGAATGTGATCTCCAGGCCTCTCTGTCTGCTCCTTGGAACTCTCCCCAGGACATCCCCCCCTCCATAGACACACCCTCTTTCCCCAAGCCACAGTTCACACCAGTCCTGCTTTGCACCCTCCTTGAGTGTTTTTGCCTGGCTGGATTTTGTCCTTCGACTCCAATAATGACTCTTGGCTTGCCTAGATGGCGGATAGAGGTGTGTGGCTGTATGCATGTGTGTAAAAACTATACAAAGGCAACACTGTATAACATTCATTGCTCTGCCCATTTTTACATCGGGCCCTCACCTGCATGAGCTTCCTGGATGACTGTCCAGTCAGAAATGTGGCCTTCAGCGTGGGCCTGGGGGGCAGCTCCCCCCCCCCGCAATCAAGTAAATCAATAAAAATCTTTTAACTATCTGCGGCCCTGCCCGAAGTCCTGCATCCAACCACTGGCATCTCCAGGTAACAAAGCATCCGATAGCAAGTGATGGGGAAAATCTGAGACCCAGCAAAGTTGCTGTTGGCTATTCATAGTGGATCTGGTTCAGAGATTGTGCCAAACAAGTAGTCTGAGCGAGCACAAAGTAGTTTTCTGTACAGTGGTACCTTGGGTTAAGAACTTAATTCATTCCGGAGGTCTGTTCTTAACCTGTTCTTAACCTGAAGCACCACTTTAGCTAATGGGGTCTCCTGCTGCTGCTGCCCCGCCGCTGCACGATTTCTGTTCTCATCCTGAAGCAAAGTTCTTAACCCGAGGTACTATTTCTGGGTTAGTGGAGTCTGTAACCTGAAGTGTCTGTAACCTGAAGCATCTGTAACCGGAGGTACCACTGTATTCCCAGTCCAAGACATGAAAAAATCCATTCCAAACTATAGTTTCCTAGCAGTTTTCAGAGATCTGGAAAAAACTGGCTCCAAATCCATCACGGCAGGGAAGGTCATAGGCATAGTTGGCAGGGGGACAGCTGCCCCCCTAAATCAATAAATAAAAACACTTGATTAACTGACCGATTGCGTTGCAGATAAACTTGGTTCTGCCCCCCCCCCCCAACATAAAGCCTCCTGTAAGAAATCCTGGCTACGCCCATGGGGAAGGTAATAGATCTTGGGGGGCAGGGAATTGTCCACCTTAAAGCCAAACTTTCTTATGGATGCTGTTTTCCGCCTAACCTAAATAGTTGGAGGCTGGTAGCTGCACCTGTTCGTTTTAACCTCTCTGGAACTCGGCGCAAACTTTTCCCCACGCTGGATGGACGGGAGGGAAAACTGCTTCCCCAGCCACCCCCCCCCCCACAAGAAAGAACAAACAAGCCCCAGGACTCGGGGAAAGTGTTCCAGCTGAGCTTCTGCTGACGGGCTAGAGAGGCATGTGGACGCGGCGCTGCTTCCGATCCGCCTCGTGGAAGAGACTGCGCCGCTTCCAGGTTCGCCTGCTCCCGGGGGCGGGTGGCAGGGAGGAGCCAGCGCCGTCGGTGTTTGGGAAGAGCCGGGCAGGGACTCGGCAGGAGCCAAGAGCGGCGGAGACCCGAGGGAATCGCTGCCCGGAGTGAAGCGCGCGAGAACACGCGAGGAGATAACGCACTGGGGTAAGGTAAGAGGGAGCAGGAGAGAATCCGGATGGATGGTGTACCCACCCGCCCCCGCCAGCCTCCTCCCGAAGATGGATCCACTTTTGCCGAGGAGCACCCCAGGGAGGAAAAACTTGTGGGTCGGGTTGCCCACACACGCCTGGGTGTGTTGGAGAGGGAATTTTCCACTTTGGGAAGGCTGCTGCTTGCCTCTCCCTGGAGATAATTCCGTGACGGGCCATTAGGCAAGAGCTGCTCCTGCTCCACCCGCCTCAAAGCTGAAAGATTTTCTCTTCCTTTCTCTTCTCTGCGCTTAACAATTTAGTTGGGAAAAGCGGGAGATGGTGTCTTGCTTCGGACGCAGAGACTGAGCGAAGTTCCAGACTAAAGGGGCCAAGATGAAACTTGTGTTTTCGGGAGAAGAGTTCTGTGCGTCTTGGAAGCTTGCCTCTCCCCTTACGCCAGTGGTTTTAGTTAAATGGTTTCGGTGGCCGCGGTGGCCATTGAATTATAAGCCAGAGGAGCTGGGCTCATTTGAGCAACTGGAGAGAAAGGGAGCTGCTTAACTTTAGTGGAGGGGGGAGAAGTGGGAAGAAGAGGAAATTGGGGGTGGGGTGGGTGAAATCTGTTTGGAAGTGACACCTGTTGAAGTTCCCTTGTTTAACGCAGAGGGAAATGCGCTGTGCATCTTCTCGGAAGTACTTTTCTCCATTCTCATGTCACATTATTACTATTTCTATATAGTGATCTCAGTGTGTATGTATGATTGATTGATTGATTGATTGCTTGATTGATTTCATTTATATCTCACCTTTTTCTCCAGGGAGCTCAAGGTGGCAAACATGGTTCTCCCCCATCTCATTTAATCCCCACAACAAACTTGTGAGGTAGGTTAGGGTGAGAGGCAGTGATTAGCCTAAAGTTCACCTAGTGAGCTTTGTGACCGAATAGGGATTACTGGCTCAGACAGAGGAGCCATGCTCCGTGGTAGAGGACCTGCTGTGTATGTTAGAAGCTTCCAGGTTTAATCCTTGGCATAAGGAGTTTTAGAATGCAATTCTGGGCACACTTTCCAGGGAGTAAGCCTCGCTGAACACAATGCAACTTACTTCTGGGTAGAAGTGCAGACGCTTTTTCTCTCAGTCAGGGTAGACAATGCTAGTCCATCTCATGTACAGCTTCGTAGATCTATTCCTGTATTGGAAACTGGGGTAGCATAATGGCTAGAGCGTTGGCTGCAAACTGAAGAGACCCAATGCCGTGTGCTCACTGGATAACCTTGGGTCTCTTTGCTTAACCTACTTCACAAAGTTGACAAAACAGATCATGTATAAGAGCTCCTTGGAGGAAAGATGGGATGGAAATAGATGAATAATGCATGATGTTGAGATGCTGGCAGAAAAACAACTGATGTTGGGGCTGAGCCCTGGGACAAGTTAGGTCCGGGCAACATGGTTACAACCATGGTTACAGTACTCAGCTCCAGAGTAACGTGGCTGGTTCGCTCTTATTTAAAATACGGTAGCTGTCATGTATTCCTGCATTGGATATGAGTCACATGGTCAATCCAGGCTCCATGTGGAAGAGCCCTAGGGACACAAGTGTATGAAGGAAGGAGCAACTTACCCAGATGCAGACACAACTCTAGGGAATCTTTCCTGCATGCTGGTTTTAAAATGTGTCTTTGTGCCCATGCAAATCAGTCTCTGTAAAGTCAAATGTGCTGGGTCTGGTGTTAGTTCCTTCCATCCATGGAGTTGCTTGCTTCCTGTGAAGGAACGTTAAGCATCTGAATCATCCCCCAGGACAGTTAAAGCAAAGCTCATGGCTTTTCAGAGTTTCGATCTGGTGTCCTAACTGCTGTGTAAATCCTGACCCCCAAGTGCAGCTTTGCACTCATTGATATTCATGTTGCTTCTCAAATACAAAACTTTTTGTGTGCATGGTCAGTCACTGATTCTTGTGCACAGTCTGAATGCTTGCAATTGTTTTGCCCCCAAATGATGTTCTTTACATTGTGTTGTGCCATAGGTGACACATCATCCAGGGGCGTAGCGTGGGTTGTCAGGACCTGGGGCAAGGCAAGTAATTTGCACCCCCAACCCGTGGATTTGCGCCCCCTAACCCGTGGATTTGTGCCCCTTAACCCTAACCCCCAGATGTTGCGCCCGGTGCGGCCGGCCCCCCCCTGCACCCCCCACGCTACGCCACTGACAACATCCATTACTAGCTTCAGAAGTCTTTTAGAGTTGTTGTTGTTGTTGTTGTTGTTGTTGTTGAGATTCCTGCATTGCAGGGGCTTGAACTAGATAACCCTCAGCGTTTCTTCCAACTCTACAATTCTATGATTCTATGAGTTTGAAGGGAGGAGAGTTCAAAGGGATGTAGTCTGTGGGAGTGAGTTCCGTAGTTTATAATTATGCATTAGAAGAACTTCCTTATCTCTTTCCTGAATCTTCTAACATGCAGCTTCATTGACTGTCCATTAGTTCTATACTTATGAATTTGTCTATCTTGATAATCTTGGCATCATTTGCCCAACAATCTGTAATACTCAGATGAAGAGTTGGTGGAGTTTTTTTGTTTGTTTGTTTTTGGTTAGACAAGTATGTGGGCATATTCTGCTTGTTCACTTGGAATGTCATTCCTCTGCATAAACTGCAGCTTAGTTTCCACTGAGATGGTAAACTTGCACATTGGCTTCAGGTGACTAGATGTGCCTTTACTCATAATGTAATATAAACAATGACAACTGGGAAACACTGGCCTATGAGCGCTCCAGTTGGAGAACAGCCTTTACCAAAGGTGTCATGGACTTTGAAGACACTTGAACTCAGGATACAAGGGAGAAACGTGCTAAGAGGAAGGCACGCTTGGCAAATCCACACCATGATTAACTCCCCCCCCCCGAAATCAATGTCCCCACTGTGGAAGGACGTGTGGATCCAGAATTGGCCTCCACAGTCACTTACGGACTCATTGTTAAAACCGTGTTTACAGAAGATGAAATCTACTCGGAGTCCTGTAGTGATTTCATGCTCCTTATTGCAACCTGTAAAAAAGTGATTGAATTGCCCCCCAAACCTCAGGCCTTTATATACATTATTTACACAATGAGTCCCATCTGATTGGCCGATTCTTCTTCGCTCCTGGAGCCTGATTGGGCTTCTCCTGCAACCCAATCAATTGTTGCATTCTAGGATCCTACTTGCCTATTGTTCTAGGATCCAAGGTTAGTACATAACAATCTTACTCGGCTAAAAGTGATCGCCAAAGAAGAAGACTCATACATCAATAACCTCAAGATGGGATTATTGGAGTGCGGTCTATATGGTGCTGCCCTTAAGGCTGGTTCAGAAGCTGCAGGTACTACAGAATGCAGCAGCACGGCTGCATATTATGTGCATTTAACATTATTATTTCACCATATGCATGTGAATTAACAAGTGCATCTTTTTTTAAAAAGAAAGTTATCCTTTTTGTGCCCTTTTTGTTGTTGATGAAGATGCATTGTGGCCGCCCTATCAGCATGCCTTCCCGTCTCTTGTTATTGTTATCTTTCCATTTTTTTCTTCTTGGGTTGCAAATGGGAAGCCCTTTGCTTTGTTGGCGAGGGATGGTATAAAAATAGTGAAGATTCATTACAGCTGCAGTTGTTATTTACCTTGGAGTGAGCCTCTTTGATTGGTTGTTGGTCCAGCATTTTCCTTACAACTTTGGTCAGTCAAATCTTCCTGGAAAGTCAAGGTAACAGCCATTCCTCCAGTCAGAGGTATAGCAATTCAGAAATGCTGCCTTGCCAAATAAAAGCTCAGTTAGGAATTATGTCCTTTAAAGTTGTCTGTCCTTCTTCTAAAACCACCTAAGTCACAGAATTACAGAGTTGGAAGGGACCCCAAGAGTCATCTAGTCCCAAGGCTCACCTCTTATCACATCGATACACTTTCTGTTCTGTTTTGTTGTTGAGCAAAAATTCAGAATTCCCCCAAAATACTATCTTGTGTCAGCTGTGTGACTCATTGTTCCAGAGACACAAGACAGGTCTCATCCACTCTGATGACACCTTCTATGACTGTTGCCTTCTTGTTCGTCATTAAAGAGGACACAAAATTGTTGATTAAGTGTGATAACTGGAGGGTGTGCCCAGGTGGTGACAGTAATATCCTGGAATGAGAAAACATACCTGGAGCTTGTAGGTGACAGAATTTGGGCTTGGATTAGTGTTTTAAATAGCAGCTGTCTCGCATTTTGGGATCTTTTCCCCCACCCTACCCTCTTCTGCCCTATAAAAGAAAATGGTTACTGGCGAAGCCAGTGCACCCATAGGATGAATGGACCATGTTTCAGCCTTTACCCTTGGACCTGAGTCACTGCAATGGTTCTTGGATATTGCCATGTTGCCACTCTCACTGGCAAAGCCTCATTCCGGGAAGAGAATCTGCAATGTGTAGAGCTGTTTCCTCTAATATGAAGCTATTGTAGCATAGTGGCTAAAAAACTATCTGCTCTATGAATGGGAAAGCCCAGGGTTTAAATCTTCTGCCACAAACTCACTCAGGCCAGTGTGGTGCAGTGATTTGGGTGCTGGAGAAGGGCTGGTGAGAGATCCAGGTACAAATCTGCACTCAGCTGTGATGCTCCTAGGGCAACCATGGGTCTGTTGCTAGACCTCTCAGGCAAACCTATGTCAAAGAGATGTTGGGAGGTTAAAAATGGGAGTGATAATCCAGCAACTTCTGTGGAGTACATTAGCGATATAGACCATCGTGTGTTAGACAAATAGTTTAAGGTAGTTTTATCATGATCCCAAAGAGATGAGAGATCTGATGCAGAGGTGGGCAATTGTGTGGCGTTGAGGCCCAAGCTAGGAGGACCTGTTGTCTAACTATCATCCTTTTCTCACATCTCTCTTGGTTTTTTTTACCTTTCAGTTCCTTCCATCTCTCAACATTTATTGGAACTCTTGCTCACAGGATAACTACAATCAAACAGCACTTCAGGAAAGTGTAGCATCTCTTTCAACATGACCTGTACAAATACAAGTATGTAATGATGCTAACTTTGGGGGAATGAAAACTCTTTAGGCTTCAAGCAAAGTGGGAGGAATTTGGGTAGGGGGAAATGCCCTAGTTTGAAGACACTTGAAAACCTACCTCATTAGAGGTCAAAAAATGTGGGTCCTCGTCCTATATAACTGGCCCAGCACTGGTACCTTTCTGTCTCAGGACCTTCCACATCACGAAAGTTGGTCTGTCCATTGGGTCAGAGACTTCAGATTTTCGCACCTGATTCTTGTTTGCCAGGTCACAATAGCTGGTCTGTCATGAAGCCAATACAGTGGTACCTCAGGTTACATACACTTCAGGTTACAGACTCCGCTAACCCAGAAATATTACCTCGGGTTAAGAACTTTGCTTCAGGATGAGAACAGAAATTGTGCTCCGGTGGCACAGCGGCAGCTGGAGGCCCCATTAGCTAAAGTGGTGCTTCAGGTTAAGACCAGTTCCAGGTTAAGAACAGACCTCCAGAACGAATTAAGTTCTTAACCCAAGGTACCACTGTATACAGTTACCTCTGCTGCTCTCAACTGCGCTCCCTTTTTATGGTTCTTTATCCTCAAACTGGACATGGGATGGGCAGTCCTTCAAACAGAGGACTGTCCCTTTAAAGCTGGAAATCTGGCTGTGTCCTACATCTGCTTATCTCGCTCTCTCATATTGCCTGCCACCCACATCTGTTCACCTAATTACTACCCCTTGCTCTGCCTGGCCCCAACTTGCTGCATGCCACAACTGCCATAGCACTGAGTGCCCAGCAAAGGATTCAGTGTGGAACCGAGATTTACGCGAAACCGTCTTTTGCAAACACATGCTGTGTTTTGCACACACTTTTTGTTGCAGATCTCTTAGCCCATATATTTTCCAGCTTTCCTCATCTTCCATCACAGCTTGCAAATTGCTTAAAAAATTATCAGGATGGCAAAATCCATGCCAGACCTTAGACTTTGTATTTGCACAATGATCTAGTAAATATACACACAACCCTGTGATGTGACCCTCTCTCCCTTTCTCCTCCTTTGTTACATTCTGTTTTAAATTTTAAAGCTGGCAAGCATGTCAAGGTTACAATGCTGATGGATTTGAGAGATAGACATGTAGGCATGAGATTTGTTCATCAAACACTGGATGTCACCATTGTACCACACAAGCATCACTGATATCAAGAGTTAAGGGATGGGACAGCTCCCATTCGGTTCAAGCCAATTTTCTTCATGTGGAAAAGAATTCTGCCTCTTTCACTTCCTTTGCAGCCAAAATAATATTTGTCCCCCCTCCATTGTGCATAGAAATCTGAACTTAATATTAATGCTCTTCGGTGAGCACACTTGATTTCAAAGCTGCTACCGTGGGTCACATTGGATACAGAGTCTGCCATCTGCAGAAACTGGGGCTGCATCAGATGTTCATTAATTTCAAATTCATTGTAAAATAGGGATAATCAATGCAATCAAACAATTTATCAGAAAATAACTAGGCTTACTTGAACATTAGGGACGCGGGTGGCACTATGGGTTAAACCACAGAGCCTAGGACTTGCCGATCAGAAGGTCGGCGGTTCGAATCCCCGCGACTGGGTGAGCTCCCGTTGCTCAGTCCCTGCTCCTGCCAACCTAGCAGTTCGAAAGCACATCAAAGTACAAGTAGATAAATAGGTACCGCTCCGGCGGGAAGGTAAACGGCATTCCGTGTGCTGCTCTGGTTTGCCAGAAATGGCTTAGTCATGCTGGCCACATGACCCGGAAGCTGTACGCCGGCTCCTTTGGCCAATAAAGTGAGATGAGCGCCGCAACCCCAGAATTGTCCGCGACTGGACCTAATGGTCAGGGGTCCCTTTACCTTTACTTGAACATTTGTGTGAGTTCAGACTTCTCTGTAGCAACCTTCTCTGCCCTCACTTTCCTCCCATTCATTTGCCTTCACTGACATTCAAGGTGACCCATGTCACCTTGCTTGTGGGTGTACATGATATCATCACCTCTGATGTCCCATCATGACATTATCTGGCATCACCAGTTAAGCATCACCTGGCTGAGATGTTATATATAATACCAGTTGCCAGGGAATTTTTTTTGCGTGCAAGTATATATTGTTAGGGATCTGTAATCTCTTTTTTTCTAAGGAAGCGAACTTGGGAGATGCTCCTGCTGTTAGATGGTGTTGTAAAACTGTATTGCATTCTTGTCCTGCAAAATATAAATGTTTGATGTTGTCCTTTAAAATGTGCGTTTCCACACTGTCAGGGTAAAGGATGTCTTTGTTTCTCATTTCATATTCATGTTGCTTTCTAATGTGTTTTCTGGATGTACATAAAAAATGGAATGAACACAAAAGCCTGAAAATAGATGATAGCCTTTTCAGAGAGCTGATGGCAATTCGAAAAAGTTTGCTGACCTTGATTTTTTCACACTACACAGGCTTCACTTTTGCTTCTGGCAGACAACTTTGCATGGTGTTGGTTTTCTTTGCATAGTTTCAAAGACCTCCAAAACTGGGAGGGGGTGGGATATCAGCAGGTCACATGCAGGGCCGGATTTAGGTCTGATGGGGCCCTAAGCTACTGAAGGTAATGGGGCCCTTTAGATGTCCAGCTGTCCTTTGTCAACAACAAATTGTTGCTGTTTTTTGTGTTGAATATATGCTATATGGTAATTTATGGACCTAATAGGTATCTAAAGCCATTTGCACATAGCAAAATATGTATTTTATCAAAGTACATCCAGTTATTTTTTCCTTTAATTCTTTGGGGGGGCCCTCAAGAGAGTGGTGTTCTAAGCTATAGCTTGTTTAGCTTACACGTAAATCCAGCACTGGCCACCATGGCAGCATAAAGCAATAGCACTTGGCTCCACTGGTTTCTGTGACTCAAGTCTAGTGTTGTAAAAGGGAGTGAGTTAATGGCTGATTTGTGTGTAATCTAGGTTAGCTAGGTAACATAACTGAGCAGTTCTATAGCACAAACAGAAAACCTGCAAGATTGCTATGAACTTCTCACTCTAAGATCAATAAACTCCAGCCAGCCTGGCCAGGGAGGTTCAGATAATCTGCTGTTGTTTATTAAATTTGTGTACGGCCCTTTAGCTGTAGATCTCAGGGCAGTTCATACAATTAAAAAAAAATCTAATCTAGAGGATCTATAATCTAGAGCAGGGTTTCCCAAACTTGGGTCTTCAGCTGTTGTTGGATTTCCCATCATCCTGAGCTAGCAGGACCAGTGGTCAGGGATTAAAGAAACTGTAGTCCCAAAACAGCTGGAGACCCTGATCTAGAACAGTGTTTCTTAACCAGCCCCCCCCCCCCGGATATTCCAAGGGTGGCTACAGGTGAAATTATATAATGTATATAGCTATAAAATTATAAATAAAACATGTTCTATTTATAAACAAAATAGCTACCTTTCTACTGGTAGGATGGGGGGGGGGAGCACAGGAAGGAAACAAGGTCGGAAGGGGGCCATGGTTGGAAAAAGGTTGAAAAACACTGATCTAGAGGATACCAGGCTGGGGAAGCCTGATGAAAACGCTCCAACCTGAATCTTTGCATTTCTAACTTGGAATACAGTTAGCCAGCCCAAGTTACTTTGGAAGATCCAGGAGTATCGTTGGACTATGTTGAGCCTAAACCATTAAACTTTTTTAAGTCAAAGCCCCCATGAAGTTTGGGAGTCAACATGGTTAATGTCTTATATTGGTTCATGATAAGCTCCCAGTGACCCACTATCGTCATGATTCACTTTGAAGCACCCAGATTTCCAGGGTTACCTGTTGCAATGTCCATTTTTTCATCATGTCCCTATTAAGTCCACTGGTTTGAACCATTGCCATGTTTAATAAGTCTTTCTAATCAACGCTTGTGATCTTTGGATACAGGTCACCCAAAAGCCCGGATAATGACTACCACTCTAGTGGTGACACGGCGTGTTTTGAGAGAGGACAGGGGCGCAGAGGGGAATTTTCTCCTGTATGGATCCACTGCATCTGAGGTGACTGAAGAAACTGAATATATCAAACAGGTATGATGTTTCACATGAGTGTATTAACGCTACCTTATGCAGAGCCACAGCACTCTTCCATCTAGCCCTGGAGTAGCCAACGTGGCGCTCTCTCCAGATATTGTTGAGCTACTTTGTCCATTATCCCTGACCTTTTACCAGACTGACAAGAGCTGATAGGCTAGCTCAAGGGCAGCCAACATGGTGCTTCTCAGATCTTGTTGGACTACAATGCCTGTCTGTGGACATAAAGAACTTAAGGAGAGCCCATTGAATCAGGCCAGAGGCCTTTCTAGTCCAGCATTCTGTTCTCACAGCAGCCAATGAGATGCCCATGAATATCTCACAAGCATGCCACAAATGCAGCAGCATACTGGACGAGACTGTCCATGATCTCTGGGAATAGATATCTCTCATCCGTGTTTGAATTTCATTGTAGATGCTGGGCATTGAGCCTTGGTGCTCTACCACTGAGCTCTGCCATTTGGATATAGCTATAAATGAATTGACATTTTAAAGCAAATGTCTTGAATTTTGGGTTTTTGTTCTGGCTCTGTTGTGGGTAGCTCAGGCTTGGCAGGAGCCGAGGGGCTTTCGGGCGATTGCCCTAAAAAAGCTCAACAGCTTTTTGTGTCCAGATTTTTACCTCTTGAAATATGGCAACCCTATCCAAAAAAGAAAACTGAAGCTTTAAAAAAATTGATATTAAGGCTACTTTTTGATACGGTACATGAGGTTTGGTGAAACGTTTGAACTGCATTTGTATTTGGTCCACAGTGCAATCCTATGCATGTCTATGTACAGTAGAGGTAAGCCCCATTGTGCCAAATAGGGCTTTACTACCAGGTAAGCATGTACAAAGGATTGCTGCCTTCGATTTCTAAGAACAGAATATCAAGGATGTGACTCCTTTTGCTTTCCTCCTGCAGATTAGATCGACGCTAGCAAAAGTTCAGCCTTTGCTGTGTAGAAATGATTCAAGTCATGGGGTTGGAAACATCATGCTGGATTCAAAGGTTTGGAAGAATTTTTGTGCTTAAAATGTATAATACAAGGGCTACGTTGTGTTTGGTTACCTTGCAGTGTGCCTGACAGTCACCCTCTCTGCAGAGTGGTGGGGAACCTCAGGCCTGGGCTCCAGATGTGTCCCTCCAGGCTTTTTTGTCTGGCCCTTGTGTTTATCCTCCTAATGCAGGCCACATTGATCACTGGCCATCCTTGAATGCTTCCGTTTGGCTCGAATGTGCTCTTGAATTCTGGTAATACTTCTTGAAGGACAGACACAGAGAATTGTAGGAATTGGAAGGGACTCCAAGAGTCATCCCGTTCAGCTCCTTCCAGTGTAGGAATTTCAACTAGATCATACATGATAGTTGACCATCCAACCTCTGCTTACAAACCTTCACTGAGAGCCAGTGTGGTGTAGTGGTTAAGAGCGGTAGACTCATAGTCTGGTGAACCGGGTTCGCGTCTCCGCTCCTCCACATGCAGCTGCTGGGTGACCTTGGGCTGGTCACACTTCTCTGAAGTCTCTCAGCCTCACTCACCTCACAGAGTGTTTGTTGTGGGGGAGGAAGGGAAAAGAGAATGTTAGCCACTTTGAAACTCCTTCGGGTAGTGATAAAGCGGGATATCAAATCCAAACTCTTCTTCTTCTTCCCCAAGGAAGAAGAGTCCACCACCAAGGGAGTCTGTTCCACTGACAAGCAGCTCCTTTATACTCATGCCTCTTACATGGGAGACACACCTGTTGCTCCACTGACTTTTGCCTCTAGCCCTGCCTGCCACTGGCATGTGGCCCTGGGAGGGTTGGCTCAGAGGGGAGTGTGGCCCTTGGCTGAATCAGATCCTCACCCCTGTTGTAGGTGCTTGCTGAATGATGTCCACTCTTGGCTCCCACAAGAACTTGTGCAGATTTTGAGCAATGCGGCTGGTTCTGCCACACTGGGTGCTGTGGGGCATTGCAACATAGTGAAATGAGCAGAATGGAAATTGACAGGCAGGGGTGCCAAATTTTGACCTTGCACAGGACACCTCTGAAATTTTAATGACCGAAGTCTGCCACTATGGGAAGGGCCATTGGCAGAGCATCTGACTTGCATGCAGAAGCTCCCAAGGTCCATCCCCAGCATCTTCTGTTAGTTCTAGGAGAGGCTCCCTGCCTGAAACCCCAGAGAGTCACAGCCAACCAGTGTAGACAAGGCTGAGCTGGATGGACCGATGGTCCAATTCAGTATAAGTCAACTTCCTGTGTTTTCAGGAATCTTCCCTGCAGGTTTCTGAAATGGCAGGACTTGCCAATTGTCCCGAAAAGCTGATGCTAGAGGATCAGGCTGCTTGTTAACCAGGAGGTCGTGGGCCTCTCGGAGCACAAGGCAAGATGAATGTTCACCAAGAATGTTAGGGAATATGTGTGGCTTTTCGCTGTCTACTGCCGCTGATCTGCAAGCCTAGGCAGAATGGCTTTGCTGCCTGACGCAGAGTTCCAAGCGCTAATTAATCTTGCAGGCAGAGAATATCTTCCTGGGGGAATCAAAAGTTGTTATTTATCAGGTCTGTTGTGCTAATGCTTTCAAATATGAAACCCCAGGGAGCTGAGCAAATAGAACATGATTTTTTATTGTTATAGTGTGTGTGTGTGTGTGTGTGTGTGTGTGTAATATAAACACTCTTGGGTCTCACTTCAATGTGGAGATGAGGACAGGGCAAGAACCTTTGGCTTGCAGGAATGCGAGTGATGCCTGTCTGCCAGAGCTACTTGTCCAATTGCCTCCTTGTTAATATCACAGGAAGCTGATGTATACAAGGTCAGATGGCTTTTCCATCTGGTCCAGTATTGCTTATTCTGACTTGCAGCTGCTCCCCCTCAGTCTCAAGCAGAAGACACTGCTATCCTTTCTTTTTAACTAGGGATGCCAACAAAAATCGAGTCTAGAAGCTTCTGCCTGCAAAGCACATGCTCCTGCTAAGTTGTGACCCTCTCTGTGTTAATTAGGGTGACTTGCGTGGCGAGTTCCTGCCCCCCCAGTGGAAATAAAGACACATGACACAATTATTAAGGTTAATGGGCTAAATAAGGCCACAACTTTATTGGTTACAGGTGATGAGCGGTATGCTGGTAGGCGGGAAAAGAGGGAGATCCCCTGCTGCGCCTGCGTTAAATAGGGCAGGCCACGCCCCCAGAGCCAGCCGATTGGCTGGCCAGGGGGGTGAAGCGGCCGGGGATTCCCCCAATCGCGCGGGGGCCGTGACGCCCGCAATCCCAGCTCCTCTGCAGGGCGGAAGTGGCTTTACAAACGTCCTAACAACCCCCTTGGATTTTGGGGTTGTGAAACATTTTGGTTCTGGACCTTTTGTGTTCTGGACATTTTGTGTCCAGAGTGGTACAGATGCATTGGGCATCAACATGACTTTGTTCAAACCACAGAATGTGAGAAGTGTCCCCACAGTTTTTTGTTCCCTCCACCCCCCTTTATAAGTTACTAGCAGCCTTGTACCTGACACAGTTCAGGAACTCTAAGAAAGCAGAAAAATCAGTGCAGCTTTGAAATCAGTGGTAAACAGCTGTGCAGTTTTGAAAGACGCAGTCTGCCATCTTGAGTCAAAATGGTGCCCAATTGTATCCAACGATAGACAAAAACTTGCTCCTTGATTTCAAGAACCGTTATTTGGTCGTGATAGCTTACCAGGTGCCCAAATGCATAGCGGGCAAACAAACAACTTTCCAAAACACACATCTATAGTTAGTGGAGCACTCGGGCTTTATATGTTCCTTGGTTAAATCTCAGTTTGGAAAACAATCGCGAAGCGCTAGTGCAATCACATTAAGGTTCCCTTTGTTGTTGTTGTTGTGCTTTAATAAAAATATGCGCTTATGCACATCTATAACCAGTAGAAGCAAAGCAGATGCAAAGTGAAAACGACAGCATTTGTTAATTCTGAATCCAATTAATCTGAAGCAGAATGAGTCCGCAGAATGATAATGAAATGGGGGGAAATTAACCATCATTAACATGATTTCATATTAGCCATATTCTGAAGGATCTGAATTGCGACCTGATCACAACGCCCTCTCCTCCAGCTACAAGGAGACAGTGGAAAAGACGAACAAAGCAGAAAAGGAACTGTCACGCATGAATAAAGAAAACGAAATTTTAAAGATCAAGGTGTGTCCATGTAAAATAAGTACTTCTGTGTCCTTGCCTACAAAGAAATCTCATTTATGTTTCAGCTTAGTTCTGCAAAATATTTTTGGTTCCTTGTTGGTTTTGAAATCGAGAGGACTAGAATATGCAAACAGCTGTCAAACCTGTTTCTGGAGCACAGCACTTCAGACTGCGGCAGGGAGATTGCACGTTTGAATGCTTCGCCATGTAAAAAACATCTTGCATATGAAAAGCTAGACCGTGGGAAGAAACATTTGAGGCCAATGCTTCACTTGTTTGTTTAGAATCTGTATCCCACACTTCATCATGGATGATCTCAGGGTGCGTAACGACAATTTAAAATACAATAAAATGGAGAAAGAAGGGGCGGATAAACAAAGCAGTCAAAATAACTCATTTGCCAGAGTGTAGTTCATATAGACATTTAGTCATACTGGGTCCCGCTTGAACTACTGCAAAGTGCTCTACGTGGGGCTACCTTTGAAGGTGACTCGGAAACTACAACTAATCCAGAATGTGGCAGTTAGTCTAGTGACTGGGAACCGCCGATGGGACCATATAACACCAGTCCTAAAGGATCTACTCTGGCTCCCAGTACACTTCTGAGCACAATTCAAAGTGTTGGTGCTGACCTTTAAAGCCTTAAATGGCCTCGGCCCTGTGTACCTGAGGTCCAGCTCCAAGGGCCTTCTGGCGGTTCCCTCACTGTGAGAAGTGAGGTTGCAGGAATCAGACAGAGGGCCTTTTTGGCAGTGGCACCTGTGGAATGCCCTCCCATCAGGTGTCAAGGAAATAAACACCTATCTGAAGGCAGCCCTGTATCAGGAAGTTTTTAATGTTTGATGTTTTATTATGCTTTTATATTGGTTGGAAGCTGGCCAGAGTGGCTGGGGCAACCTAGGACTCAGCTATACAGCTGCAAATATAATGTTTTAAGTGCATTATACAAATGTGACACCAGATGGCAGTAGTGAGCTAATGGCAAATTCAATATATATTCTTTTTTTAAAAAATTAAAGCATTTTCACAGTGGTTTTTTTAAATATATGTGTAGATTCCACCCCAGTCAGATGTGCAGGGTACAAAAGTAGTAGTAGTAGTAGTAGTAGAAATAAATAAATGAATGAATGAATGAATGCTGGAAAGAAATGAAAGAATTTAGCTAATGCCAATAGATAGAGATCGTTGGCACTTTCTACATCTGGGGGATGGGGTGAGAAGGCAAGGGTGGCATTGCCAAGAAGGATTTCTGGAGGGTCATAAATGCTCTGACTTCACTCAGTGATAGCATTGCCAAGAGGGCAATATGGGGGTGTGGCACTTGCAGACCAAAACCGAGATACGTAATCTCCTTTCTTGTGTGCTGGTTTTGCACATGCTGGTACATCTACATTTTTTTCTTGTGGGCGAGCATTTAATCATGCAATTTTTTCCTCACCCCCACGGCAGTTTGTAATGGTACGATCCAGGAACATCTGGCCACTGGTTGGCCACTGTGAGAACAAAATGCTGGACGAGATGGGCCTTTGGCCTCTTCCAGAAGGGGCTTGTCTCATGTTCTCATGGATGGCAGTGGAAGCGAACCCATCAAGAGTTCGCATAAGCTACTAGCCCCTGCCTGGCCTTGAATATGCAAGGAATGGTGTGCTTTGCGTTAGCTTGGCAGTGTCTGGAGCCACTGTGTGAGGCTCTGTGTTGAAACTCAAGATTGCTGTGGAGCATAATGGACATGTCTGCAAAATATTGGAAGTAAACACATGGTAGGGACTGGGCTTTTGAAAGCTTGCTTGCTTGGCACCCCCACCCCCAAACCAATGCTAGTGTTGCCACCCTTTTAACTTAAAGCCCCAGCTGTTTTTTGATAGCAGGTCTGGGAGGAAGGTGGGCACACTCTTCCTAGTTGCTTGGCAACCGCCAGATGCAATTGAGCAAGTCTTTCCTGCGTTTACCGGACAGCCTGGGCTTTCTGCAGAGCAGAACAGATGAATTTAAGGTGAAAGGGGAGGGCAGGGAGTCAAAGCAGCTGTACAACCAAGAGAGTATTACATGGGAGGAAGGTTAAAAATAAATAAATCAAGGCAGTCTAAATTTCCCACCGTGACAACAATGAAATTCTCCTGCCCGGCCTCGACCTCTCAGTTAGTCTCCATACTCCATAACTGCCTGCAGAGGCAACTAATAATACATACTTGGATATTTTATTCATTTTGTTGCAATTTAAAGTATGCTTGTCACATTTTGAGTCAACTGCTTTTCAAGAGCAGCCTCCATGCACATATAGGCAGAGATGGATGTGTGCACAACAGTCTGTGGGTGTGCATGTGTGTGCACGCACACCCACCCACAGAGAGAGAATGTTAACAAGAAGTTTCAGTTGTCTAGATTAGGGCTGCCATATGTCCAGACTTTCCCTGGCATTACCAGAATTTCAAAGGCAGATTTGACATCTGGTGGGAATTTCCAAAAGGTGGTTTCCTTAAAAAAGAAAAGAAAAGGGGTATCCTGGTTTTTACTTTTTGAAATATGGCAACTCTAGTCTAGATGAATATAGGAGTGTGGACTCTCTTCCTATTGTCTCTCTTCCACTTTGGCTGCCACCTGGTGGTGGTAGCCAACTATTGCAGCTAAGAATACCTTTAAGCTAAGCAAAGATGGCAAGGGATCTGATCCTGTCCTCTAGTATAAACACTTTCCTAAGATACTAAGTTGTATGAATGGTTGCATGAGGTTAAGGCAGCTCATGCAACTGATCTTTCTCTTCCCTCCCCCAGTATCCTCAAAAGACCTTTTTCAAAATTTGAGGGTGGCCTCCTGAACAGAAGTGGGTTGTCCTGCCAGAGGGGTGGGGAATCACCTGGAACTGAGGCAAGCCTCTTGCGTTCACAGTGTTCCTGCTCCAATACTCTTCCCTCAACATGTTTCCAGGCAAATACAGAACAGAAATACAGTTTCCCATCTGTTCCATGCCCATTCAAAGGACTTAAGTGCCTTGGGGAATAGAGATAACCTAGAATCCCTCACAGATGAGACACAGCAGAGGTGGAGAAGCTCCAGCCCATGTACCAAATTCGGCCTGTGAGGCCATTTTCCCAAGATGTGTCCAGATACCCAACTTGTGGCAGGAGGTTTGAGGCAGGTAACAACATGACAGAATCAGCTGGGTGACCATGTTCCTCATGGGGCTCTTGATCACATAGCTGCTCACCACAGAAAGCAAGCTTCAAATCCCCTTTTCCTTTGATTTTTAAGGCATTGTTTTAACCTAGTATGCTGTCTAGCAATGGTTTGGAATATTACAGGGGTTTTGCTTGCTTTTGTTTCATCTTAATATACCCATTTTACACATGCATCTATTTTACACTACTGCCATCCACCCTGACTTGTTGGAACTGGATGGTCAACAATATCCTAGATAAATAATTTGTGTATATTGGTCGTCTCCAGCTTGACGCTTTGAGAGCAGCGGGCATGGAGTCTATGAAGAACATGTCACATAAACTCCAGGAGGACTACAACAAGCGCTCGGAAGAGCTCAAGAAAAGGCACGAAGGGGCCATTCACGTAATGAAGGTATGATCTTGCATGGTCAGCAGTGACTGCTGGCTGCTTTGAATAGGTAGTGAGAAAGGGGTTGGCAACACAACATCCATGGGTTGTTCAAATTTAGCACTAAAGAGCAGGTTTTCTGGAGAAAGCAGCAGGTCAAAGGCAAAACTGTTCAGATCCATACCTAGAAAATACCAGACAAGCGGAAGTGTGGGCAAGGCCTGGGTGTTGTTCAGAACCAGGGATCATTGTTGTTTAATGCCCAACCAACTGTGATTTGTAACCAGAGTTTGCTCTTGGCTTACCTATCATGCTTTGTTCAAGCAAAACATACCAGGATTCCCAATTCGGACATAACACTAAGCCAGATATTGCGGTTTGTTCGCCCTGGAGATGAGCAAAACTGCACAGATGGTTGCTTTCAAAGTAAACCATTAGCTGTGGTTGATTGTAATGTGTGAAACGAACTGAAGTTGGTTGCCTGTGGACCTCTGAGCATCGCTTCCTCCTCTCGTACCGCAGGCCCGCAAGCTTGAGCAAGAACAAAAGTTGCAGCAAAGCACGGACCACCTCAGTCAGCTGAACGTGCAACTGCATGAGAAGTATGTCCAGATTGAAGAACTGGAGAAACGGGTGCAAAGGATGGAAGAGGTGAGATTCTGTTTCATCAGTTATGTGTGCAGGCTGCTCATTTCTGCAAGAGCACAGACAACCCCACCACCACTACTACTACCACCACCACCACCACCACAATCCCTTCCAAACATGTAACTGGTATTAGAAGTTTCTTAGGAGTCCCAGCTTCCGAAAAAACAAACATACAAACCCCCCCCAACTTTTTGGACTGAAAGCATGTGAGTAGCGCTTGATGAAATCATGGAAGGCAGAAAAGTAGCTATGAATGGCCCTTCCCTCTCCCGGCATGACTAGCTGCTACTGTGACAAGAACAGAGGACAACACAGAAACAGGATAAATAATTTCATTGATTGAATTCATATCCCAACCTTCCTCCACAAGGAGATCCTCAGGAGGCAAAGACACCTACTATTTATTTTTTTTGAAGCATTCTAAAACAATTTAAACCCCAAAGCTCACAGGGTGACTATGGGCCAGTCATCATCTCTTAGCCTAATCTACCTCACAGGGTTTTTTGTAAGGATGAAAGAGGAGGAGAACAATTTGCACCACCTTGAGATCCTTGGAAGATTAAGGTGGTATGTAAATAATGAAAACAACAAGTGTTAGAGTTTAAAATGTTTAAAAAGTATTTCAGGAATGATAGGAATCAGAATTAAGCATCAGGTTCCCCACCTCTGTTCTGGATGTACGTTTTCCTCTTAACTAAAGGTGGATGTGCAGCTGTTTGCCTTTTAACCAGTAAAGCTGTAGATTGTTGCTTGAGGATTACATTTATATTATTAATACTTTTAATTGAACACAGCAGGTTGGACAAGCTATTGCTGGGAAAAGGGGTTGTGTGTATATTTCCCCCTCTAAGAATCTGATTATTGTTCTCTGCCTGTTAAATATATTTCTCTGCACCAGTGAATATGCAATTTTCGCAACGGAAATGGAAAACTACAAATATTTGCAAGTTTCTTGGTTGTGGGAGGATTCTTGCACAGCCCTCAGCTTGGGTTTGCAGGTGCTCTACGATGGGGAATGCTGTGTGAGGGCTGAGAATCTGTTTTCTAACAAGGGTGCAAATAGGAGCCTTTAATTTGCTTTTTTAAAAATCTTGCTGCTCCATTGGTAATTAGTAGAAAGAAGGCTGTTTGTGAGAGAGCTTTGGAGCTTACAAACGCCTACCATTCTCATTCTTTGTCATCGTTCAAGCACGCTGGCAAAACCCTTTTGCAGAATCCTTCCAGCACTGCCAGCGAACAATCACCACCTCCTTCATAGTAAATAGTGATTAGCAATGAGAAGTGATTGCAATGAACATATTACTTAAAATCCAAGCATTGCCATCTGTTCTGTTATTAACTTGGAAGTCAATGGGATCACATTCCATTAATAGAGTCTCAGCCAAGGAGTCAGATTGAGACGACTTTTAAATGTGAAATAATTAAATGTGTAGTGCTTTGCTACAGTTCTGAAGGCTTCTTCCCAATGGAAAATAGTAGAGGAAAACTAGCAAGCCTATTACGAAGTCATCAGGTGGTCTTTCTGCTGGTAATAATCTCATTCAGCTAAGCTTCCCTGCTTTGCAACTGCTAGGAGAGATTTTCTGAGCGAGGTAACAGCCCAGCATATATTTCTTTCTTCATATTTGTTGCGTATTTATTTCATTTACACCCCAACTTCTTACAATAGAACTCTCCCTGCAAGACACTCTATTTTGACGCTGAATGTTTGGGGTGATGGCTCCTTCACCATATATATATAAATGTCCAGTAGCACCTTAGAGACCAGCTTAGTTTGTTCTTGGTATAAGCTTTTGTGTGCATGCAAGTGACTCTTAACCATAGTCGACCTGCTGGGCTGGGTTCGAACATATATCCAAGCCATCATTTAATAAACCTTGGGTTGGTGTTATGTGCGAAGCAGGTGGTTTATTCGGATCTAGCTAGAGGCATATGTACAGAGACATTATGCCTTTAGTTGCTGACTCAGTTCATATGTGTAGCCCTGGGCAGATCTTCTGCAATAATTATCACCATTTAGGTGATATTTAGGTGCCATTTAGGTGCATTATGCTGCAGTTGAATTCCGACCATTACATAAAATGAAAGCAGAAATAGGAAATGCAAAGTGATTCAAGCTTTGACAACCTTCCGTTCTTAGAAACCCTGAAACTTCTTTATTCATAAAAAACACACAATATTGCCTCGAGTGTGAGAGCCTTGTGACTTTGCTGTTTCCTAGGAGAAGAAAACACTGAAAGAAAAGAAACGTTGTTTAAAGAAGAAACTACATGAGATGATGTCGAACGCTGAAGATACCTCAAGGTTTGCACATGACTTAAAAAAAAAACCCTTCTATGAGCATTTCTTTAGCTTTTGAATAGCAAAGACAGTACAAACTTTGCAATAATAGTGAAACATTATATTCTGTGCGTGTTGGGCCCTTGCCTAAAAAGAGGCCAGGCATCTATAAAACCACAGGAAGAGCGATGCTGGATGAGGTCAAAGGCACGTCATAGTCCGGAATCCTGTGCTCAGAGCGGCCAAGAAGTTGCTTAAGGGTAGTGCTATTTTTCTAAAAAAAAGAGGTGCTGGAACTTGCCATGAATACCTCCATCTCTTAGAATGGCAATGGTGCCCACTGGAGAGATGCTGGAACCGAGTTCTAGCAATTTCCAGCCGAAAAAAAGCCCTGCTTATGGGAAGCCCACAAGCAAGACCTGAACGTAACAGCACCCGTCTCACTTTGTGATTCCTAGCCATAATGTTCATGAAGAGTTTATGTAGATTGCCGCACCTTCGTTAGCCTTCAGTTTTCTACCCTGTAGTGATTTTCCAACATGCAAACCGCCCTTACTTTCCCTTCTTCTCTCTACCAGCTGTGTGAAAGTTCAGACAGAGATCTCGACACTTCAGGAGCAAATTAGCCACTTGGAGCACATGATCCATTCGCAGCACCAAAGCTTACATGGTGTGATTCAACAGGTTAGAGCCTTCTAATCATACCCTAGTAGCAAACTGGTCCTCCGGGTGTGGATCTCTAGGCAGCTAAACCAACACAACAAAATACACACACAAAAGTGGGAAATATTGGTGGATCTGGAGAATCCTCAAGGTTTGCAGGTGAACAAAAAATATTTTTGTGGGGGGGGGACCTTTCTCATAGGGGAAAATCCCCCCAGTGAGAAATGAGGATTCTCGCTGGCCATGGAATGCTGGCTGACTGTTGGGGGACAATAGAAAACCACAACAGAGGGGCGAAGGAATGGAGTATCCTTTTGAAGGGTATGTACATTTTGTTGCGGAGGATCCCACATCTTTGATTTGTCAAAGAACAATATCACTTCCTGTTTACTTGGGAAGACTTGCAGAAACAGTTGCATTCCAGATTTTTATTTAACTTAGTTTGGCCAATAGGTCACCATGGCCAAGAAGACTGCATTTATCTCAGCGCTAAGAAAGGCTTGCTTAAATGGAGTTTGATTGGTTTTGATAGCTGGTGGCTACTTGAATGTACTCTATCTGTTTAGATGAGGTCTGGAGAGGAACATTTTGTCACTTTGATTATAGCCAGTGAAGTCTGAGTTTTTCAGCTGGCTGGCAAACATGGATCTATTTGCTGTGGAGACGATTGATGGCACTGGCCCAATCCCTGTTGCTCAAAATGCCCTTAGTCGTTACTGCCGTCGTCTTCTTAATTAATATATTTATTAAATTTGTATGCTGCCCTCCATCTGAATAATACAGGGTGGTTCACAACATAACAATACAAAATGAAAACATAAAATACATAATAAAAGCAAGAACAAAATCAAAAGCAGACCAATAACACCCCCTCCCACAAACACAGTTTCTGACACCTATATATTTTAATGTTACAACGACACATTTAAAAGCACGGAACTGCTAGCTTGTGGTTCTAATTGCCGTACAGAGTCCACATTTAGTTTAGCTGTATTTGGAGCAGAGGAAAAATAAGGGGTCATTGGATTACACTGGTGGAAACTCAGCCAAATGTATTTAAATCTACATTCAAATATTGCACATATTGCAAAGACAACACAACCCTACAAGTACTCATGTCATGTACTCTCTACTCTTAAGAAAGCTGACAGTGTAGAAATCTACCCCAGTCATATACTCATAGAAGTGAGGCACCACAAAACAGTGCTTCGTTCGCACATCACTTCATAGTTAATATTAACTATGGATTAAAGGCGATGGTGTGTAGTGTGCTGATGCATGCTTGCTAAAATCCTGGACACTTTGGTCCTTCTCTGCTCCTGCTGTTATGCTGCTGGGAACTAAGCCATGGTTTGACAGAGCCTTTCCTTGAACCAAGTTTAACTATGGTTTAAACTTTAAGTATATATGTGGTTTAAAGTGACGTGCAAACCAGGCTACTCTCATACCTCTGTGGATGTGATATAACAAAACTGCACCCGGTATGTTTTGTTACTAATTGTATTTCTCCAATTTTCTTTTCTTTTTAGATTGAAGAACTGAACAACGAACTGAAACATCAAGATGAAAGAATAGAAGGGCTGAAAGAAAAGATTGAGATACTCCAAGCAAAGGTAAAGAAATTACTGCGTGTGAGTGTTTATGGTAATGTTGTGGTCCTATTCTACAAATCTACAGTTGCTTTTTCTTGCACAACTGAGAGCGGTTCTCCTCATTAAGCAGGCCAAGTAATTTTGAACAGTGGAACTTCAAACCATTGCAGTGGAACTGTATTTTTGATGCTCCCTCGTAGAGAAAGTTCAGAGCAACTGGTAAATTAGCACATTGGTGCAAAAGCTGTGTTAAACTTTCCTGGGTTTCTATAGTACAGTGGTACCTTGGGTTAAGTACTTAATTTGTTCCGGAGGTCTGTACTTAACCTGAAACTGTTCTTAACCTGAAGCACCACTTTAGCTAATGGGGCCTCCCGCTGCTGCCGCGCCGCCAGAGCACGATTTCTGTTCTCATCCTGAAGCAAAGTTCTTAACCTGAAGCACTATTTCTGGGTTAGCGGAGTCTGTAACCTGAAGCGTATGTAACCTGAAGCGTATGTAACCCGAGGTACCACTGTACATGAAATTCTGAACCAGTGGAGTTTTAAGAGTTTTGCTATAGGCAAACAGACAGTCCAGCTCCTTGTTCCTCTAACTGGGTTTGTAGCATCTCAAATATTGCAGGGGTGCTGGAGCGTTACTGAAACTTAACAGTTCCTACAATCGGAATTTCCTCCTTCCTGGTAGCACCCCATTTCGTTGTTAACACTATGCAAAATGCTCTTCCCTGAGATGCTTGCCTGGTGCCTTTGTTACACATCTTTAGGCGCTAGGCAAAAGCATTCCCCTTCTCCCAGGCTTTTGGCTAATTAAACAATCTATGGCCTTTCAAACTGTGGAGGGTATTGTTTTCATTTGTTGCCATGCTATGGATTTCTGTATTTTTATATTGTAAACTTCCCTGTGATCCTCAGATGAAGGGCAGTACAGTGGTTCCTCCGGTTATGAACGGGATCCATTCTGGAGGCCCGACCATATCTCAAAAACTTGGAGGTTACGCAACACGAGGTACCACTGTATAGAAATTTAATAAATAAAATTATTATTATCATTTAACCAAGCTTATTGTCTAGTTGAAAGTTTTCACTACCATTTAGATAAATGAGGTTGACATGTGCTCTACCTGACTTAGCTTAATATTTTGCGCTCGGATGAAATAAACTATGTGTATTCTTACCTCCCACTTCCAGAACAAAGAACTAAAGTACAAAGTGGAATTCTATTCCAGCCAGTCAAGACCAAAGGCCTCTAAAGCTGTTTCAGCAAAGTAAGACTTTTTTTTCCAACTAGCAATCCAGCAGTTTTCTTGTTATGCAATTGTTTTTTGTTTGAATATTTAAGCTGCAGTGTTTTGGGATCACCTCAGTTCCCCTGCCCCCATCTCTCTCTTGGTCGTGAATTTCTGAGCTTTTAGAAAGGATGGAAAAAATAATGTAAAAGAAATCATGTGGCATTGAGCATCCCCTACGTCATGTTTTGTTTCTGGCACTGCAAAGGCCCCTCACCACAGAAAATCAGTGCCAGCCAATATGGTCAATGGTCAAGAATGATGGGTGTTCCAGTCCAATGACATCTGGGGGGCCACATATTTTATGTTCTTGACATAGACCAGGAATGAAACTAGGCTTTATTTCACCTGGGTCAAATACCCAGTTTGGCGCGCGCGCACACCCGCCGCATTTATGTACACATACAGGCTGGGAGCCTCAATGACACCGCTCTTGAGGCTTCACCCGTGGCAAAAAACACAGCTAGCCCCAGGCTGCGCACCTAGTCCTGTAGGGCCACCCATTTACCCCATTCAGGACCAGGGTATTCCCCACACCCGCCCACAACCTTATCCCCCAGAAATGGTACTTCTGTCTTGTCTGGATCCAACCTCAATCCATTAACAGCCATCCACCCTCCAACCACCTCCAGACACTCACACAAGACATTCACTGCCATCACTGAATGGATTATATCCTTCTAAAAAGCTAAAGGGACCCCTGACCATTAGATCCAGTCGTGGCCGACTGGGGTTGCGGCGTTCATCTCACTTTACTGGCCGAGGGAGCCGGCGTACAGCTTCCGGGTAATGTGGCGAACGAGAGCAGCACACGGAAACGCTGTTTACCTTCCCGCCAGAGCGGTACCTATTTATCTACTTGGGCTTGATGTGCTTTTGAACTGCTAGGTTGGCAGGAGCAGGGACCGAGCAACGGGAGCTCACCCTGTCGCAGGGATTCAAACCGCCGACCTTCTGATCAGCAAGTCCTAGGCTCTGTGGTTTAACCCACAGCGCCACCCGCGTCCCTCAAGCTAGATGTACCAGGGGTCAAATTCATTGTGAGCAGCGACGGAGCTAGCTGCTCGGGCACAATGCAAAATTGAAACTATCTGGTGTTTTGCGTTCTATTCTGGCTGGCAACCTATTAAGTGAGGAAGCAATTCATAGCCTAGATACCAAGGGACGTTTTTCTTCACAAAGTGGCAAGATCTTTAAAAGGCAGCTGATAACATTTGTTTGCTGTCACAGTCCAAACTCAGACAGTCTGTTACTCCACATAGGAACTCTGCAAACCCCACTGCTTATTGGCCTCGGCCAGCTATTGGAGGAAGGATGTTTTCCTCAGTGCCATTTTGGCATGATGTGCTCTTCGGTCAAGCCATCCGAACAAAACACATGTGAAATTGCCTGCAGGTTGCCACTGAAGCCGCATGAACTCTTGATTCAATTTCAAAAGGGCAGGTAGAAATGAATGTGTGTGAGAGGCCCGCCATGCTGATGGATGTTGCGTGCAAATTCACCACAGCTTTTCGGTTGCTGATTGGTTCTCAAGCGTGGCTTTCTCTGCTGAAGGAGACGCCAGCTCTTGTCTTGTGATCTGTTGCTAGTTCATCTGAGGTCCATCGAAAGGACTGCGTCTTGCCCATCCTTCTGTTCTGACTGATGCAGAGCATGTGGGTGTCTATTACAGGCCAACCACTTGGTTTGCTCTCCTCGGTTATTAATAAGCAGTCCATCTGCTCTGCTTTCTGGAAGGCAGGGAGAGAGATTGGCTTCTAAGAACAAGGCTAAAGAGAATAATAGGGAATGCTGGCATGAGATTTCGGTCCTTGGCTGCCTGTACTCTACTTCAAATTCTAAGCACCAGCAGGGATATAGGAATTTGCCTTCTACTGAGTCAAACTAGCTGAGTACCAAGAATGGAGAATCTGTGACCCTCTGGATGTTGCTGGACCACAACTCCCATCATCCCTGGTCACTGCCCATGCTGGCTGGGGATCATGGGAGGTCCAACAACATCTGAGGGGGCTACAGGTTCCCCATCCCCATCTGCATTGACTGTCAGCAGCTCTCCAGAATTTCAGACCTGGGGCCTCTCCCAGCTCCAACTGAGGTGCTAGATTGAACTTGATTCAGATTCAATGCCCATGATCTGGTGTTACATCTGAATGTAGCTGCAGAGAACAGAATATTTCACAACATGTGCAACAGTTTTAGATGGTTCCAGGGCAGACCTACTACCTAGTAACATTTCACATTTATGGACAGTTCACAAATATTCAAGGCATGTCTTTATCTCAGTAATGGTTACAACAACCCTCTGATGCCTGCATATTGCAGAAGATGCCCAAAGGCTAAGATAATAGCGGGTTCCATAAAGCCACCCACTGAGCTTATAGCAGATGTGAGATCTGAATCAGATCTTCTTTGCTCGCTCTTCAGTCTCTTAACTCCTGTGCTAGAAATGATGGAAGGCATTATTGAGCGTGCCTTTACTCTCCAGTCACTTGCATATGTCTAAAGGTTCCTCAAAGCTACAATGCAGGAATGGGGAAGCTGTGATCCTCCAGATGTTGGTGGGATACAGCTCCCATCATTCTTGACCATTGACCAGGCTGTCTGGAGATGCTGGGAGTTGGAAGGCCACATGTTCCCCATAATACTGGTCCGGAAATTCACCTTCAGAATGTCACATTCAGGGTATGGTTGGCTTGCCTTGAAAAATGAATGTCATTGGGGAAGTTCTCTCTCCTCCAGATAGTTCTAATAATTACTATCCACAAAAGCTAGATTCAGCTTCGATTTTCAAAGAGAGTATTCACAACTGATCACAGAATCAGAGTTGGAAGGGGCCCGGAGGCTCATCTAGTCCAACCCTCTGCTATGCAGGAATGTGCAGCTGTCCCTTACGGGGATCAGACCTGCAACCTTGGTGTTAATCAGGACCACACTCTAACCAACTGAGCTATCAAATTATTACAAGATGCTGGAGCAGGTAGATAGTTCAATTGGGTTGTACTAGCAAATCTCCCTGGGGGATGAAGCTGGACCATCTTGGTAAGCAGTCGATTGAATTAGATGGACCATTGATCTATTCTATACAGCATGATGACGGCAGTTCTTAAGGCTATTCTTAAGCTATTGACTCACTGCAGAGTACTGGCACAGGATTCATTTGCACAAAGTTATGTTTTACCTGTAGCTGGATGTATGGCTCACCTGTAATCTTCTTCTTCACCAGGCTTGACGGAAGTACACCATACACCATGATTTCCAGACGCCATAAGTGAAGCATCTCCAGGAAACACAGGCCATTTTTTTTGCAGATCCACCAGAAGGATCCCAGTTTTGTTGACTTCATTTCATGGATTACTCTTCAAAATATGATGCATAGGAGAGAGAGAAAAGCCTACCCAACCTCCGCCCTCCATCCATCACATCATGTTTGGTCTTATGTCAATGCAGATGGAACCACAGGATGGCTGTCCAATGAAAGAAGTGGAGTCAGATGTGGAGGGGGAGCTTCAGGGGAGACTGGGCAGCTTCTTATTTATTTATTTATTGACTGTAGCTCTGTGGCTATTCCCCACCAGTGATGAATGTTCACTGCCTTGACTCATTAACTCATGCAGAATAAATTTCAGAACATTATTCATGCTGCACGGAGGTCTGATGAAGCTGATCCTCACTAGGAAGAGGAAGAGGGTTATTGCATGCCCTTCACCTTGAAGTACCAGGGTGGGTTACAACAATTTAACATGCACCACAAAAACGGTTTAAAACAACTTGCCATCCCAAAAATAGGGTGGATCCTAAAATTAAGCATCCCGAGTGTCAAGTGCCAGGAGAAAAAGGTGCATCTTCAGCATTCAGTGCAGGTGCCAGATGCCATTCTGCAAGGAGGGACTTCCACAACTTAGGGGCTGCCACAGAGAATGCCCTCTCCTGGACCACAGATACACTCTGAATTTCTGAGGGAGGTGGAACTGTGAAGAGAACTCCCTCTGCTGATCTTAACACAAGAGGGTCCATTGGAAAGAAGATGTTTCATATATTTGTACCCTAAGTTGTTTAGAGCTTTAAACGTAGGTGAGCATCTTGAACCTCAGAACTAACTGGCAACCATTGTAGCTTTTATTTTATTTTTAAAGGGGTTTTAAATTGTGAGGCCCTGCTTCTCCCATAGTCACAGCCTTGTTGGAATCCAGCATGGCTCTGACTCACAGCTTCTGCCTGCAGCATGTTTTCTGCTCACTTCAAACACAACTCTGGCCTTTTCCCTTCTCACTACCAGCCCGATGAGGGAGGGGTCCTACCCATTTGCCCTCTGGCACAAAGCAACTTCCCTTCTTATACTAATGACCAGTAAAGGTAAAGGACCCCTGACAGTTAAGTCCAGTCGCAGACAACTGGGTGGTTGCGGCGCTCATCTCGCTTTACTGGCCGAGGGAGCTGGCGTTTGTCTGCAGACAGTTTTTCTGGGTCATATAGCCAGCATGATGAAGCTGCTTCTGGCAAAACCAGAGCAGTGCACGGAAACGTCGTTTACCTTCCCACCGGAGTGGTACCTATTTATCTACTTGCACTTTTTGGTGTGCTTTCGAACTGCTAGGTTGGCAGGAGCTGGGACTGAGCAACAGGAGCTCACCCTGTTGCGCGGATTCGAACTGCCAACCTTTTGATCGGCAAGCCCAAGGCTTGGTGGTTTAGACCACAGCGCCACCCGTACTTAGGGCCATTAACAAGAAACTTGCCCGGCTCCTTCAACAGTGTCTCTGTAGGAATTTAAGCTGGAGCTTTTCCCAGCCAGCCCTACCTTGGGACACCAGGGACTGGACCTGGGATTAAAAAATTTTTTTTGCATGCAAGTCCACTCTATGATGGAGCTACGAACCTTTTTTTTTTATGATACAGTTCTGGTGCGAAAATCATTGTAGCTCAGTGCTATACTCTCCTTTACTAAGAACAAAGCCCTACCAAGTTCGATGGGACTGATTTCTAAGTACACACAGACTTACAGGTAGGGATGTACAAATTAACCACGCAACCCAAATTCTTAGTGTCTTAGAGAGCCAGTGGGGGCCATCACAAGTTGTGCAGGTTTGCCCAGGTTATGCTTCTCCATTGCACCCACTGGTTCCTTACCAGCTGTGTTGCCCTCTTGTCAAGAGGAAGTGATTTAATTAATTAGACTCCATTTGAAATTACAAACTGCAAAGCCTACAGGAGTGCATCTTCTCAAAAACATCCTTCATGCTGTGTCTGATGAGCTGTTGTTCTTTAACCTGAAACCCCCCCCTTTTTGGTCCAGGTATATGATTTAACAGCAGCATTGAAGCAAGTATAGAAGTTTGCACTTTCTGAATCATGGATTTGAGTAATTTCGATAGCATCCCAGGTTTAGGGCCAAATTTACATGGGGACATCCCAAAATCAGATGGTGTGGTGTTTCCATTTTTATTTTAAAGCATCTGCTCAGGGACGACAATTGTGCTCAGGGAGGGAGACATTTAACCCTTTCCCAACAGGGAAGTTTCCTTACCTGAATCCAACATATGGCCCATATTATTGACTTCCTACTTTCAAATACGTCCATCTGTTTTTCAGAGGCAAATAGAAACATTGGGTGCTCCCCGTTTTAAATGCATTTCAATCATTTGAAACTTTGGAATCGCTACTGCTATTAAAGATTTACAAGCAGCTCTCCTACACACTTACTCATGACTTATTGAGTAATCCCAGCGTGAAGCTTGCTGAGCTGCCCCCAGGAATCAGAAATCTGGCAAATTAGAACATCAAATAGTACTGGTAGCCTGCCATTCAACACAGCTGAATTTGGAAAACGTATGGAAGGCAAACATCCACATGCTTCTACTGAAAGTCCTCTGCCCACCAAAAAAACCCTTCATTACAAGTCAAGTTTAGAACAGGTGCCTCTAAAGCAATCTTGCTGCAAAGTCCAGCAATTTAAAATCCCTAAAATAGTTATAACCACATACCCTAAAGAGGCTAGGCTTTGTTTGAAGTGTTTGCAAAGGTTCTTTTGGAGGAAGGGGGAGGGGAAATCTGCTGGAACTGAAGATGCCAAGGAAATCCTCCAGACTCCAGGCTTGGAAACTAATTTTGGGAATTTGCAAAAGCCTTGAAAGATGAGAGATGAGCTATTCATGCCCTCAAATCCTTCTCTATTCGACCGAATCTAGGTAGTATAAATATGCTCAAGACAGCAGCCTGAGGATGTAAGGGAACCCCGTCTCTTATGGAAGATCCCACCCTTGGCAATTTCATTCCATTAGCTAGGGATAGACACATGGGTAAAATGCAAAATGGAGGGGAGGAGGAGAATGGAAGATACGCCAATTTTCTACCAGCAGGGAACTTTTTAAATGGACCATCAGACTCCACCTAAAGTGGTACAGCCAACACAGGCTTACCATATGATAGCTACTGCTGTTGAGTTTTGAATGTGTACATACTGGGCCATACCCAGTGCTGGGGACCTGCTGATGTGAGGGACTTTGATGCATGCAATGGCATATCCTCTTCCTCTTGTCTCCTCCATCCTCCTTGTGCCCTGGGAGGTTGGGGGACCTTCTGGAGATGATTGGGAGGCAAACTATGCAGAAATTCTGGTTTTAGTATGCTGGCTGTTTGCTGTAATAAACGCAGATTTATTGATTGATTGGGAGGCACACTGGGGGAAGAGAGGAAACCCAAGTCCTATTATGCCAGTGGAAACTGATGATGAGCACTGCATTTTATTTTTTGATCCACAAGCTGCCCAGAGAACTGATGTTAGTCAGGGGGCCTTAAATTGTGAATAATCCCTAAGTAAATATTGGGGAGCCAAAAGCCACCTTCCAGACCTCTCTATCTGGCTCTTCTTTCCAGATCACGCTCTCTCCCCAGCCACACACTTGCTGGACTGGAATGCACCCCTGAAGTCTTAATCTTTTTCAGTCTGACAGTCCCAGTGCCTTCTGCCCAGCCTTCCAGGCGTCAAATGCTGATGGATCAAATGCATTTTTTACCTTTGGACATACAGTAGGCTAATTCTGAACACTCTCACACATCTCTGTTCTTCATCCAGCCATGCAAGAGGCATATTAGATTTCAAGGACACAGTCCAGTCATGAAAAGAATAATTTGAGGTGTAAGGCAGGGATAGTGAGAGGTGTGGCCTAGGGAGAAGGGGTGTGGCCTTAAGAGAGTTCTGAGGGCCAGATACAAAGGCCTGCTGGGCCACACTGGGTGCTAGGTCTGAGGTTCTCCAACACTGTTGTAAAACATAGTGAACTCTCTCTCTCTCTCTCTCTCTCTCTCTCTCACACACACACACACACACACACACACAAACACACTCTTTCCTGATTTTGCGTTCCAACAGCCCAACACTGATTAAAAACATATTATTTTAATTTTCAAAAGGACAGTGCAGATATGAAACCACAAGATTACGTTCCTTGACCATATTGTACAAACCCAGACACTAGTTAATAAAAGTTGACAATGTGTATGTATATAATATATATATATATTTATATATATTTAGTTTTAAAGCCACAGGTACTTTGGTACAACAAAGTAATGACTGACATTGTTATGCTGGCATCGCAGTCTACTGAGAGACATACAATACAAAACGCCCACGTTCAAGAATGTAAATCTTTTAACATGTACAGACCTGCCGCATAGACCAACGTAAAACATGCTCAGAATAATCTAACAGAGAAAACTTTTTTTTTTTTAAAAAAAAGCAATTGATCAATTGGAAGGTTGCTAGTGTTAAGTCAGAAAGGCAAAGGATACAAAATCTGAAAAGGATCATTTCAATAAATATGCTCAGGCAAAGTACCTCAAATTATTTACACTGAAAGCCCTATTGTGCAGGGAGGACAGGCAGTTATAGGAGATGCTTCATAAAGAATCTATGTAAATTGGTGTTCTGAAAATAAGGGTAGAACATAAGTGATGCAACTTGCGTTTCTCTGAACAAGTGGAGAGAGGAATGTTTCGGTTTTATTTTGTTTTTAAAGTGCAAGAATGTCTGTACTACTTGGGACTACCTAATCTGCCCACCCAAGTACAGGCCTTGTCTTATATGGATGATATGAAATGAGAAGGCAGGTCGTAGTACAGCAGAGTCAAAATTACAATGTGTTTCTTGCAGATCACACACACACTCGCTTGCAACATGATAGCAGAGCCCTACCCAACTCCCACCCATTTTTGTCCCTTCCTGTGAAAGCTTGGCTTATCTTACTTCGCTTCTATAACTGTTGTACACACAGCTTGACTCAATATTATGTTTTACCTGGCTTGACATTTCCCAACATAAGTGCTGGAATGAGATAAAGAAAAAAATGTCTAAGGGGAGGCAGACAGAACCATGCAAGACTCACACTCCTGAAAAAAGCTCCAGAAGGTTCCACATCTGGCCCACAAAAGTAGCGTTCCTAATGCGGAGTCATGAGGAGGTTACCAAGAAAAAAACTGGGTTCTTCTTTTCATTCAGTGTCACAGCAGACTACCATTTGCTTTCTAGGAAAAGGAGACTTCAGATGACAGCTCTGGTACATATGCAGGGAACCTGCCCCCTCCAGATGTTGGTGAGAGTCCAACTCCCATTATCCCAGACTAATGGTCATGCTGGTGGCAGTGGGGGAGAGGTATATACCCACAACATCCAGAGGTTCCTTATCTCTGCTTTAGCAATACCACACCAGCTTTAAGTATTGGTGTGAATTTAGCAGTCAGTGTGTTGGTAGATCTAAGACAAGGGCCTTAAGACAAATTTACAAACACACATTTGGAGAGAATGGGCTTTCCCCAGAAAGTATTGATTGAATACCCATTTTTAGGTGTACCACATGTCTGTTACTACTCCATAACACTCCATTTTCTCACATGAATCCAATTGGATACACTTCCCCTCCTCCAAGGACTTATCCTTAAAGGACAATCACGCAGAGCCACATTGATAAACTCCTCCATGCTGTTACAGTTGGCAAATGGATATTCCTGGGACACCAGGGCAGAGTTAATTCTCTCCTCATCTATTAAGTATGAACAACTCATCAAGCTTGTGGAGCCATATTGCAGAGGTGATTGGGGAATGCTTCAGCTGATTATTTGAAAGCACTCAAAGAAAGCACCTCAAAAGCGCCTGAGGAGTTGTAGCGTTCCTGTTGGATGCTACAGGGGACAGTGAAAAGTGATGTCTCCCACGCCAGCACACACAAAATGAAGCTACATTTCACAGCACACATTCCAAGAGTCTCCATTGTTTTATTCAACATTTTTAAAAGGGGGAGAAGTAAGCCTGGAATTACCTCTTTATTTTCATACCAACCTTTCTATGCCCCTGGCAATTGTTGATCAATGAACCACAGATGGCCTGTTTTAAGTATTCTGTTGTACGTAGGCTCATTTTGTCAAGCAGCTAATGTAAGAACTGCGAGGGCAAGATAGGTTTCCTACATAAAGGTACCTGGTGTCATTCTGACACTTCCTGCTCCTCCTCATTTCCAGCTCTGATCAGAGGTGGAGGTGGAGATGGGATCACCAGGAAGGTGCCACCAAAGATGAGTGATGTGCTATGGAATGAAATCAGCACAGACGCTGCTGAAAACCTCATATAGATTCTTATTATGCCAAACACAAGACTTCACTTGGGATTCGGCAATTTTTAGTACCCTGATGTCCAGAAATGGGGAACCCATGGATCTCCAGCTATCATATGTGGAGGTCTACAGGTTCTCCACCCTACTATAAGAGGAAAAATAGGAATCCTGGACCCTAGTCCTTAATAGGAAACCATGCTTGCCAAAATCCCCCCAACATGCAGCTATTAAAAGTACAGAGGGGTTCCTCTCGAATAAGACATCTCCAAATTTTACAGGGAGTTTACAGTAAATGCAGCATGAAAAAAAAAGGAGGAAAGCTGGGCTTCCTAAAAGAGGGTCCTAAAAGAAGTCTCGCTAATGGTCCTCGGAAGGAAAAAAAGTTGGTTATGAGATGGAAAGGGAGGAAAAGCTGCTCTTGCACTGAACTGTTAACAGCCCATGCACCGGGCGTGTGGTATGTTGTTTCACCTTTGTTTCACCAAAAAATAGCATGCAAAAATATAAAATTCCAAAAGCATAGCTACCAAGGTTTCATGAACTGTTCTACCAGTTAAAAATACCACTGGGGTTTTTCTTTCTTTCTGAAAGACATCCTGTCAATTGCTTGCTGCAGGTTAGGCAGACTCTCCTGTGGGCAGCATTCTAGCAGCTGCAGTTTCCAAGCACACACCTCTTCCTCCTTCCTTGAGGAACTTGTTAGTGCAACAGCTCTTTCCTACAGACTATCATATTGCCCTCTAGGGCTGGCTTCAGGATTTGGGGGCTCTGCAGCAAGAGTTCATCAACTGAGCCATCTTAATAAGCAAGGGATGGAGGGGGAAGACCTCAGAACAGGCACCTCAGAATTCTCCATCTATGAAGTATGATTTTCGGCAAGCAAGCCTAACTCCTCTGTATCATTTCTTCTTAACGTCATCTTCCAACTCTCCATGTTGTTACGGTTTCAGCTTTGTACATTAACTGGACTGCCCAGATACCCTCTTGCACAAGATCACCTCTGCATGAAACCCAAATAAAACTATGGGCCAATAGTTTGGCCCATAAAGCAAAGACCACGAGGTGCTTAAAGTCTCTTCTCCAGTTTTCCCAGTGGGATCTTGCTGGTTTCAGGGCCAAAGCTGGAGCAGCCATATTGCTCTAGGACTTTACCAATATATACTTTGTTCTAACGTGGCACCATGTAGGAATGGTACACAGCTGATTTTTATTTATTTATTTCAAAAGATATGTTTTAATACATCACAGCCCCACCACAACATTTGGCTTTAAAGAACAATTTGGCACCACTCAACAGTTGGCAGCATAGCTACAGTAACAGAATCACCTTTTGATGCTCTGTTCCTAAGCCTACCTTGCCAATTTTAAAATGCTTCCAAGTGCCAGCCATATATTATATATTTAATCAAGGTTTTGCTTTTGTGATGCTCCATTCTTCA